GCCGCCGTGGCGGGGAGCGCGCGCGCGGGGCCCGGCCTCTGTGAGGAGAGTGGGGATTGGCCTATCCCGATTGTCTTTAATTGGGAATAAAACCAAAGGAAAAAAAAACCCCAAACCCAGTTATTCCTCAGCGTGTGGCACCTGAAGGGTCATCTTTAAGGGAAACGGCGTTACATTGTGCAGCTCGGGGCACAGGTATGCGTATCCATCTACGCGTCACCGTACCTTCCAGGCCAAAAGGCACGACTGGCATTGTAATTGAGCTTTAATTCAAGAGTTACAAAAGAAACCCCAAACTGAAAATGCGCGCTGTGAGGTCTTAAAATGTTACTGCGCTCGGTTTTCATGGAATCATCTGGGTCGGGAGGGACCTTTGGGATCATTAAAGTCCAACCGCCGACGTAACACTGCCCAAACCACTAAACCACGTCCCTCAGCCTCATGTTTAAATGCCTCCGGGGGGGGGTGGCGATAACACTGCCCTGGGCAGCCTGTTCCAATGCTTGACAACCCCTTCTGTGAAGAAATCTTTCCTAATATCCATCCTAAATCTCCCCTGGCGCAACTTGAGGCCATTTCCTCTTGTCCTATCGCTTCTTCAAAGAAAACCAAAAACCAAAACAGTAACAAACCAAGGCGTTAATGCGTTTTAAGACTAATATATCCAGGTTAAGTTGTACAGTTCACTGGAGCAGGAAAGAGGGGAAATTTGTGGTGATTGTGTTTGGCAAGGTTACTCCTGCCCTTGAAAAAAGTTACGTTATCAGGAGGAAAATGTCACTAGGAAGTTACACAAGGCTGTTGCATCCTCAGTCTCTGAGGATATCATGAGGAAATGACTCTGAATACCGGAATTATTTTCTCTAAAACCAAGAACTCCTTACTTTCTTCATCTTAAGAATATCATTTTGCAAACCCAAAACTTTTCTTGGAAACACCTATTCCATCAAAACTTCTGACAAAAAAAGTGTAAATCACATTCAAACCTTTATGCTCTGAAGTAGACTTTTAGGCTCTTATTTATAAATATAAGTATGAAGGAGATGTGTAACTTTAGGCATTGTCTGAGACTTTCAGATATTCCCAAACAGCTTACATGCATGGATTCTTTTCACATTCAAGTCTGAGCTTTTATGCCAGGTTTCAGAAATGAGTGCCTAAAATCAGGCTCCTCGGTAACTCCTGATTTTCAGAACTACTGAGAGTACAGCAGCACTCAATGGTGATAAAAGGAAGTGAAAATCTACATCAGTTTTGAAACTCAAGCTGTGACTATTAGAAACATATGGCAATTGGAACCAAATTTGGCTCCTTTAATATCTCTGCCTTTGACAATAACAGACAAGTTTTTAAAGAAATTCAGTACTTGCAGCTCTAAACGTCAATGGTTATCTGCTCTTCATGAGTGAAGCTATCAGAACCCAGAAAAAAAAAAAACAAGTGAAAGAAAAGGGTAATTCCTTAGTTGGAACGAAGTATTAAGAGTATTTAGATAGCCACCTCATGCAACAAGAGTGTGCATCACCTTGACACTGTCATAGAAGCCACACAGCGTGGGAAAGAATTAAAGGGACGCTGCTGGCACTATTTCATCCAGAACACAATTGTAGAATAAATAAAGGACTGCATTATCCTTTACTGGACATGGACCAGAAAAAGAATACAACTAAAACTTATCTCATATGCAAAACTTCTAAAACTTTAATACCTGTTAGTTCAACTCTAAACACTTACACATACTTAGCATGAATACACTTTAATGCAAACGGCAAACTGGTAACTAGTGTTTTCAGCCTCCGATGAGCAAAGAGTTAAGAGGTTTGAGAAATCACAGTACATTTACAGAAAATAAAATATTTGCAACTTCAAGTTATTCAACAGGTAATATATTTTTGTGAATATTGTAGCAGAACTACAGCAGTTAAATCACATAAGTTTAAACGTATTGCCACCCTGATGTGTCTACAGTAGACATGGGAAACACGAACTTTTAAATGTAATTGCTAAAAGCATCTCTGTTCTCAAATATGAACTACAAACAGTTTGCTAAGGCTGTGTGTGTTAATCCCCTCACACATGACAGTGGTACATTAAAATATGGATTAGACATTTACTAATAATTAGTGCTAAGCTGAGGTAACAGGTAAGAAAAACAGTAGCATCGGCATACTGTTTACTAATTGGCATTGGCTTATCAGACCATAAAAGCAAATATTGGTTTACTATCTTAGTTTACATTTGGGCAACGGTATAAATTAGAAAACTTCAATTTGGAAAAATCCTACATTAAAGAGATACTACCTCTAAACACTTCGACCGTCTTGCTAGTCCTGTCAGTCATTTTAAGATACATGTACGATTTCTACAGTTTGGGGAATAAATTCACTGTCACCTCCAAAGCTGCCTCAACATGTTTTCTACTATAAGCAGAGGAAATAAACATTGAACTGAAAACTACACTAGACATGGTAGAGAAGACTCAGGCAAAGGAAAGCATTGCTAATTCCACTACTGAATTTCAGTTTGGGTGCCAGGGAGGAAAGAGGTAACTTAAATAAAAAGGTTTCAGAACACAGTACAACTGGTAGCTCTCAAGTTGATCCCTGGTTTAATATTTGTGTTACACAATTTCTACACAGGTTGTTTATTTTTTTCTTAGGAATTGACAGACCTATGCTCTCGGGTGTCTGCTTTACCAGACTGCTATTCAATAAATTCTGGAGGCATTTCTTCGTCTTCTTCCACACAGGTTACCAGAATGATCTTTTTTCTTCTGCTCTTTCCCAGGTGCGTTTCAGAAGATACACTGCAGCATGAAGTCCCCCTACGTTCACCCATACGGTCTGACCTTTGCGCCAGATGTGTCCCATTCGTGACAAGGCCTATAATCCAAAAAAACAGCCAAGGAGGTAAGATAGTAAGGGTAAATTTGCTTTAGAAATTATTTTTGATTATTCTAAATCACATCTGATGGCCACATCAAATGACTCTTTGGGTCCAAAACTGCATTTAAAAGCTTCTAATTATCACTGTAAAAATAGATCATCTTCTGTAATGAAGTTACCTTACTGGTTTTTTCTCAGTCTGTTTTCATGTGTAAATAGCTTTGATTTTCTCTCACAGAACATACCTTGGCAAAGCATTTCTTGTCCTGCGTAAGCAGCACAGCCCTGCCTGTCCCCGGTGTGCAGATGCGGCCCATCTCCATAAGGCAGGCCGGATAGAGATCCCAGTTCTTCTTCTTTGACCCTATCCTGCAAAATAAATTAAGATCCCCTTTGTGATCACTGAGAAATAGTTAAGTGTAGTTGGTCTTTCAGACATGTGTTAGCTTATTCAGGACCACATTTACTATTAATTTCAACCCGCATTTTTAATACAGAGTACATCAATACTTCTTAATTAGGCCCAGTTAAATAACTAACTGGAGAGAACCCTAACCCTGGACAGGCAAGCACATGCAGTAGTGCCAGTTAAGGGCAGTAACTTTACTGGTGATACCTCACCTCTTTCCAAACGGCATGTCTGTCACAATAACATCCACAGAACCAGTCCGCAAAGGGAGATTGCAAATATCCCACTGAATGATGTCTAAGGGTATGCCCTGGGAAGGACTGCTGCAAGTGCAAAGACGTTTATCTCAGACATGGTTTACCGAGCAGTATTTTTAAATTGAGTTCTATAACATTAGCAAAAGAATAAATAGGAAAATATGAGCAAGACAGTCAACGCAAATGGATTTCTTTACATACAATACTACAGGAAAAGAAGAATCACTGGTACTCTTCTCACCTTTCCTTATTCTCATTTTTCTTTAGTAAAGAACAGATGTTGTTTGCTGCTCTCTTTACAGCTTGTGGGTTGTTATCACCAGCAATATGGTAGCAGCTTGGCCATTCTGTAGCTCCCTAGGGGAAAATATTGGTAACAAGCAACATCAGCACTAACATTGCTTAATTTAAAACAGAAACACCAAACAACCAAGCAGAAGTATTACTCAAATACGACAGAATACAACAAAGCAACTGGAAGTGGACATCAATAATTTTAAACTTCTGTAACAGATACCTGTTGTAGCTATGATGCATCTTAAAAGCTCAAAATACTTTTGGATTTAGTTTCTTCATGCTACAGCTTTGGGAAGGAAAATGAGGTCATTTACAAAAAGTGTATCTGTTTAAGAGTTGGTAACATACTTTTGGACTTGGCTATTCAGTTAATCACCAAGAAAACTTAAACGTATTATTCAGTTGCAGATTCTGTCAAGTTTTATTAAGTTAAAAAATAAAGGGAGAATCACCTCTATTGGTATTGCACCTGTACCACACATGGGATCAACTATGATATCTGTTGGCTGTGGATCACAGAGTCTGAGGAACAGAAAAAAAAAAAAAAAAGATATGGTGAGAAAAGTCTTAAAAACGTGAATTTCTGAAAGGAAGGAAAACTGAAGTGCTTTAATCACTCTGATTCTGCCCTTTTAACAAAAAAAGCTTCTATCTGATTATTTTTTCCATTCGTTAATTAGCATTTTATAAGCACCAATACAGTGAAATACTTTCAAGAATGGGATAAAGTATTTTGAAAACTGGCTAATGGATCACTGCAAATGTTTACTTTACTAAGCTGGAAAACATCCACTGTTAATTACAAAGTACACTGTTTCAGCAAGTATGCTTTATTCTTTTCTTTTTCTTTTTTTAAGAATTAACAGAAATGGCTTGTGAGGAAGCAGTGGGGGCGATAAAGGATCTAATTTCTGACACAAAATGACTTGTTAACTGAGAGTAATGTAATACTACGTAATTGCACTGACCTAAGCATGCCGTAAGCGAGAGTTGAACGAAG